ATTATTGACTTCCTCCTGACGGCAGTTATGCTCCTAGCAGACATACTATGGATATTATTACAGTATATATCCGTACTATTAATGTTCTTTGCTAATCTGTCATGAAAATATCATATAGGCCTATCTAAAAAATTACGTTATATGCATGCTCGGAAGCGGAAATTTTAACCTAAAAGTTTGATATATGTTTCATGTTGTTTGTTGAATGGTCTTTAATGATATTATATTCTAATATGACCACAACATAAGGAAGAACACTTTGTCAGACCCATATACCTTTATATTTCCTTAGGTCTAAATCATAAGGAAGTCCGCTCTATATCCAAATTTCAGGAAATTATACGTTTTATGCATGCACCGACGTGGGAATTTTGTTTTATGTTGTTTGCTGAATGGCCTTCTTTAAAAATATAACAGTCTAATATGACCACAACACAAGGAAGTTCATTCGTTAAATGTTTAGTAGATAGTACAGAGAATTATGATTGTTTATCAAAATCATTATACACATAAGGGTCGGTGGCCTGTGGATTTTCGCACGAGAACGCGTAGACGTTATTCCATGCTGAGCATGGGTAGCTGTTCTATAGCTGGGTACTGTACTATATACATTCCGGCTAAAAAAACTCTGTCTTTAGGTCTCTGCCTTTCGGCTTTTTTACATCCTGATTGATACGTCGGGGATAATAGCGTTGTGTTAGTTGACAATCTATAGAAAATTCAAAATTAGTGTGAGTGGTAAAATAATCGAGATTTCCTTTTGCCTTCTGCTGGATCCGTCACTGAACTCATGGTAAGCCCCCATCAGTCTGGTGAAATCATCGGCCAAAGCTCGTCGGGCAGTCGGACCAAAAAAAAAAAAAATAGGCCTAGTTTTCCCATCATAGCCATTTCCGGCCATCTAGAAGTCCCAATTTAAAAAAAAAAATCTTATTTTGGGTGGAGGGGACATCCGGCTCCAGCCTTTGACCCTCAGATAACGCTGCGTGCTATTGTTACACCTATAAATACTTAGCCACCCCCCCATAAATTATATCCTAGAGCCACCACTGCTTATATACTACTGCTAACTTAAGTTCAACAAAAATAATAATTTTAATGCTAATAAATTATAGAATACTATTATACAAACAAACATATTTTCCCACTTTGTTCAGGTTAAGCGAGAAGAAATTTGTCAGGAGTAGTGGGAGATGGCAACTTGAAATTTAATCCTCATCCCATAATTTTTATGAGAAACAGAGCATTACCATGTTTGGTGATTGCTTTTAAAATAATTTATTAAATGTATAAGTTATTCAAAATCACAAAGAAAAGTTAGATATTATGAGTGAGTACATTACAACATGGTGGTCACATGTTCAAAGAGCGCCCTCTCACCTCATGGGCTTCTTTTGCTTGCTGGTACGGATCAAGAGTCCCGTCTGACAGCGGATACTGATCTTCTATGCGGTTCTTGAAGAATTCAAATACCTTCAAGAGAAAAGAATCAAGGATTATGACTGAACAATACTTATACATTTTAATTAGTATTGTGAAAATTCTTCAAATTAAATTTTAAATACAAAAATTTGAATAAAACTTTAACAATTTTATTTGCATGTTTACAAACGTTCAAAAACTTACACTTTTACAAAAGCTTTCTTGCAGTCCATTAAGTTCAACTTTGCCATCTTCATCAATGCCAGCATATTCACAATCGTACCATTTTACACGATCTTTCTGTGGTCGTTAAGAATATTTTTATCATGTTAATGACCTGAATAATTCTATGCATATGAACCATGGTTTAAAAAGCAAGACATTTATAGAATTGGTGATTTAAAAAGGCTCTTGGTGATTCTAATCTACAAAATATTAAGAAATTCAGAACTAAAATGTTAATAAGCTGAATAATTTATTTGTACGGTACGCGTAGTTAGGAATAAACAAGATTGGTGCTTTCAAACGAAAAAAATCATAGAATAACGGCTAGAAGCAAATAGTAAATTATATAAAAATTAATTCAATTAGTGGTGGGTAAATAAAACAGACTTTAAAGATGGATAAGATAGGAGAATAAACCCATAACTCACAGCATCACTGTGCTGAATTGCATATGGGCATGGTCAGTGTAGAAGGGCTCAGTTCATCATTCCACAATGACAGGGGCTGAAGTGAACCATAGCATCGGGGTAACCTCCCTACTCTTCCAAAAGATGCAATGGGTTCTTTAAAGTGCACATGAGCCAGATGCGTACACTGGATCTCCCAATTTAAGTCCTTATCTGAGAAAACTTTGTTCTACCAAGCGAAGTACCATGGGCGAGTTGAAGCTCAAACCAGCGCCAATGTTAAGGCTGTAGTTAGCAGCGCCCCTGCCTTACAGCTTGGCACTCAAGATCTTCTTAAAATCATTCTTATTATTTTTTATTATTCTTTATTGGCAATCACAACAGCTGGATGGGAGGGTCTGGTCTCTAAACTTAATTGCTATAACATACGTGAGAGAACCACTCCCATCCAGTAGTTACAAAACATATATAAAAAGACGTATATTATTAAGCATTTATTAATAATTAGAACTGATTTGACTAGAACAGTTGAGATTACTTACCAATCGTGTCTTTAGCATCTGTTTTAGTACCTCCAGCTTATGTGCAGCTATTGGGTTTGGATCTTTGAAGTCCCCAACATGATCTTCAGGTATTGTTTTCAAAAAAGTTGAATTGCGAACCATAAACAATGCTGAAACAATAAATACAGTATAACATAAATTTAGTTATAAGCAGTGCTGAATAGCTTGGTAGTCCTGACTTCAAACACTGTTTAATAGAAATTAAGAGACTTGTATATAAAGCCTTATTGCCTGCTTCAAAAACTAATGAATGGATCAACTTAAATTTAGTGAAATGCATGGTACATAATAAAAGAAGAAAAACACTATTTAATTTTCGAAAGCAAAGGTCAAAGGACAAGGTCCAGGTCACAGAAATTCAATTTTTTTGCCATTGAACATAAAAGGATTAATCAGGTGTAAAGATGACATTACAAAAGAATTTTGAAGAAGGCATTGGTACAATAAATCGGTTAGAGCATAAGGGCCTATAATCATCGTCGCAAAACCTGCTTCAAGAGCGTAGGGCCAAAAATCAGTGGGGTCAGAAATCATTTTATTTTGCACTCACAACTGTTTAAAACAGTTTACCAGTAACAGTTACAGTAAATGCTCCTCTAAACTTAACACTTTCAAGAACAACTTGAAAACAACACTATTTATTGATGTTTTCTCCATTTGTTGATGCACAAAGCACAATGAGTGCCCCTTTGGGTGAAGGATACCGGCGCTATACAAGTTTTCATTCATTTATTATAATTATTATTTATTATTATTTACTGTAAGTGAAAATATGTGCTTAAAATATGAAGCATGTAAATCTTTATCTTACAATTAGGATTATCGATCCTGTAGGCCCCATGTAGTATCTCCATCTCGGTAACAGACAAGCCTTCGATCCACTTGTACTCCCGTACTAGCGAGTCTGACACGTCATTGTGTGTCGGAATCCAACCGCAACGTTCACTACAATGACAAAGTTTTGAGTTTTGTAAAAAAAAGTTTAGAATATTTACAGATTGAAAGTTTAGCGAATTGACATATTAGGATGGATATGTTTGCAAATATTATGAATTTGAGGGAGATGGGTAATTCTCCTTGCTTGCAGGAGTGTGGGAGGCTGTCCCTGAATTCCAGGAGATGCCCACAACTTGCGGAAGACTTGGGACTCCTCTGCAAGCATCTGCTAGCTTGAGCTAGCTTCATCAGGTGAATGAAGTAAAAACTTTTCCTTCAAAATATGTAGATGAGGAAACAAAACATAAACAGAAAGGCTGCCTGGAAGAGACCTGGGATTAACAAAGCATCATTACTAGTAAAAACAGGAAAATAAATAGGAAAATAAATAAAAACAGGAAAATAAATAGGAAGTTGTAATTTAAAAAAAAAGCTATGTATATTATATAACACTTATGGCATGATTGTTCTCATAAACCTTGACAAATTTGCAAATATAATAAATATGCTAATTATATCTGTACATTATAAATGTATTGTACTTTTAACTTGGTGGATAACTTACTGTTAGTTTCTTTTAATCAATAATTAAATAAATACTGTAATTGGAAGTAGTACAGTATACAGTAAACACAGAAATACAGCTTCAGTATGTAACCGCAAAGTCAACAGTTACAAAATTTGCTTAGCAACTGGTCTAAAAGAACGATATCCAAAAAAGATAGGCCTATGTACAACATTTATGTTGTAAATAACAAAACCTAGACAAATAATATGCAAAATTATAAATATGCTAATTACATTGTATGTATTTAATTAACTTGGTTGACTCATTGAGTTTGTTTAGTTTCTTTTAATTAATAATTAATTCAATAATTGGATCTGAACTAAACTGAGAAAAACAATTTCAGTGGTCATTCACAGTTTATGCATGACTGCACACAATGGCAACAGAGTTAAAAATTTGCCTAGCAACCAGATAATAAAACAAACAAGATAATATGCCAAAAAAAAAAAAAAAATAGGACAAATTTGCAAAAATCATAAATATATTTATTTTTGTACTTAACTTGGTAGATAAATTTGTTAGTATAGTTTAATCAATAATTAATTCAATAATTGGATTTGAAGTACTGTATCAGTAAACTGAGAAAAACAGCTTCAGTGGTCATTCACTTGTTTAAAACAGTTCATGCGTAACTGCACACAAAGTCAACAGTTACAATATTTGCTTAAGCAACCAGTAGTTTAAGATAGTAATATAATAATAATAAAGGCTTTGTTTAAACACGGAAAAGCTTGAATCACCAAAGGTGTTCTTCTACAAGGCCAGGGGCGGATCCAGAAATGTCCAAAAGGGGGGGCCGGAAGGGGGGGCCGGAAGTTGGGCCGATTGAGACAACACTGTCGTAGGG